GACTCGCAAGAGAGTGCTGCTACATCGACTGAGGGTTTGGTTTGGCCAGGCAGTCTATCAATTAAAAAAAAAAATTTAATTTTTAAAACTTTTTCTGGTCTGGTTTATTAACGCGCTTTTTAAAACTACAGTTTATGGGAAACATTTTTTGATGCCACGCAAGAGACATGCAAGAGTATATATACATATATATATATATATATATATATATATATATATATATATATATATATATATATATATATATATATATATATATATACAACAGACATAATTGAAATTAAGAATATGTATATATATATATATATATATATATATATATATATATATATATATATATATATATATATATATATATATATATATACATATATAATATATATATATATATATAATATATATATATATATATATATATATATATATATATATATATATATATTATGTGGCCATAAACTTTTCTATATGTAAATATAGCCTTTAAAAAAATAAATACATTCACAAATATAAGTAATACTCCTTTTCTATGTTATTTTTATTCCAGTATCTCATACTAACATTTGATAGTGATTAACGATTTTTTAGTATAGGATGTACATTTAGTTTTTTTTTTTTTATGTACAGGAAAGTAATGTTTTTTATTTTTCAGCTCAACAGTTAATTGCCAATTTTAAATAAGATATTAAATAAATGGTTATAAGGTTGCTAAGTATCTGGCACAGAACCTGAGTAGATTCGAAATGTCATCCAGGCCAGTAGGCAAATGGTTTAACAGTTTTGTGTTGTATTATATATGACTTCCAGTTCTATTGTAGCATCATATCTTATGACATCAGAACATTGTGAGGTTTTAAAAGATTTGACATCTGGCATGCCTGATATTTTTTTACCTTGTCCATGTAATGACTTTATTTCGTAATTTTTTTAGTTTATCATATTAGAAATAGTTTATTTTATATGTGGAATTATAATTATCATTCATGTGCAATTTAGATTATATATACTCAAATTTAATGAGTATAGAAGTGCATGTTATCTTCAATGTAAAAACATGTTCAATAATATTCTAATTTGTCGAGTAAATGGATAAAATACACATTCTTGATGATCAACATATCTAGATAGTATCTAAGAAATAATTGTATGTAATAAAGAAGTTGTGTCAAATTAAGAGCAAAACTGTAAGTCAAAAAACCTTTGTTATTGGAACTTGGCTTTTCGATATATTACCAAAAAAAACTTGTGCATTTGTTGTTCAAATTGTAAAATTAAGTGATGAAGTGATAATACACACACACACACACACACACACACACACACACACACACACACACCACACACACACACACACACACACACACACACACAAATATATATATTATATATATATATATATATATATATATATATATATATATATATATATATATATATATATATATATATATATATATATATATATATATATATATATATATATATATATATATATATATATATAAAATACGTAAGAACTTTAAGACATCGTATTAATATCAAAAATAATTTTAAGTTATTGTAATATTGTACTTTTTTAAAAATATCGTGTCGGTTGTGTACAATTTAAGGTTACAATATAAACATTATGTTGTGTAACACATAATCACACAAGCAAAGTTTAACAACAAAATTCAAATAAATCAAAAGATTTGATTACTTTTTATTGTTTAAAAAAAACATTTTAAAACAATTAATGCAATAAAAACCATTTTAATGAAAATCATAACTAATTTAATTTAATAAAAATTAGAGAATTAATCAATAATGGATTTGCGTTTTTATGATCTATAATGAGAAACTTTGAATCACTGACTTAAAATTATTTAATAAATATTTAAATCACTGACTTAAAATTACTAACTTTTTTTTCTAATATAATATATTTTAGAGGCAACGATAATGCGTACTAAAGTCACAAAAGCAATAGAGCATTATTTTTTATTCATTAATACTTGCGCTATTTTATTCAATAATTCATAAAAAATAAACAAACTTAAACGGAATAGTTCTAAAATTGGACCCGTGAAATTAAGACTTTTGAGTCACGTTTTTCCGGGAAATAAGAAGCAGAAAATTAAGAGAAGAATTGTTTGATTGAAACTAAACAATTTCTTGAAATCAAAAGATTGCTTCTCTATTCATTTCTAATAGTCATTTCTCAGAGACTACTGTATAACATTTTCTATAGAGAGAATTTTGTAAGAGATATTTTTATAATAAATAACCAGAATAATGTATTATAGTAGGGGTGTTAAATAAAATGGAATGTTTCTTTTTTTAAAAAAGAACAAATTAATTTTACATAGTATTTTTTATATTTCGTATTTAATGCAAACGTTTCCTTTCATAAACACTGTAAGGAAAATACTTAAGCACTAAACATACGACAAAAAATGTATAAACTAAATCAAATCACGCTTTTTTCTATAAAGGTACTATACCTTTATAGAAAAAAGTAAACTACAAGTCAACAATTTTGTCAAGAATCATAGGGAGTTGTTTTTAATTTTTAAATAAAATTGTTATAAATTTGTAACTATATGGGAAAAGTTTATAATTATTATGAAACAACTAATAGAAGTAAAAATGATATGTGGATAGGATAGCGAGCGATTGTGAAGCATTTCATAAAGTGTTCCAAAACAAAGACGAAACAATTGAAATCATCATTTTGCTTAACAAAGGGAAGTACAAAATAAATACTTTTAACATTTTGATTTTACATAATCGATAAGAATTTTATATCTTTACAATTTTTAGTACAGTTTTTACGCCTCTCACGTTCGTTAATACGTATCAAACAACAGCCCAAATAAAAATGTTCAAACAACTTTGTCTTCCTTACTCTTTAGAACTATTAAAACAAACTATAACTAAACAAAAACTCAAATTTTAGGGTTCTCAAAAATTAGAATTAAAATGTTTAGGGGCGATCCATAAAGGATATAACCATTTTTTAGCCAATTTTTGACCTCCTCTCCCCCCCCCCTATTTTATCGGTTGTCCTTTTTTCCTATACCCCCCTGGAAAAGGACATCATAAAATTCTGACCCCCTCCCTATTTTTAACTCCAAAAAAATTTATTATTTCATCTTGCAATGATGTTTGAATCTGGTGCTTCACCTTTAAAAAATAAAATTAAAAACAGTCTCATACATTATGTTCTAAAAAACACATGTTTACGTAATTTTCCATGTTAATTAAACTAAAATAAAAAATCTATAAAGTGACGTCCTTTTCTGACAACCTCCCCCTTTCCCCTTGTCCTTTTTAACTCAATATCCTCCCCCTCCCCCCTATTTGGATGACGTCTTTTATGGATGGCTTATTTAAAAAGTTAAAAGAAAAAGCGCGGTGAAAAGCAACACACCAGTTCAAGCGAAGTTCTGACATTATTAATCTAGCGCAAGTAAAAGTTCTGGAACGAATTTAGAAGGGAAAATGTTTTATTTTTAAGCTGCGTTTCTTAGTATGAGTTTTTTTTTTTTTTTTTTACTCAGTAAGTGCATTAAAGTTTTTTTCTTTAGTTCAAGAAGACGTACATAAGACTTTAATTCTTCAACATTCATACTTAGTACTATTTCATAATTCATTTTGGTTTATATACGTTTTAAATTTGTTTCGATGGTGATTGGCTTTGTTCATGCTACTTTGTTACTGCAGTTTGTTTATACTTAGTTTAGTCAAGAATTGAAAATTATGATTTCCTCCGCTCGAACTGGTGTATTTTTATTTCAAGTCAGTAACAATTGACTGTTGACGGAAAACGAGGGTAGGGAAACTGGGTTTAAAACGAACTTTTTTTTTTCTATTCCTTTAGCTTATAGCCAAAATGCAAATACTTTTTCAAGTTATTTTTATTGAGTAAATACTACTTAAGCGCACCAACCCCGCTATTAGGGCTAATTGGAATGACAATAGGGTTACATGAAAGTATAAAATATTGCATTATTAATAATAACAATTACACTTATAATACAAATATACATATAATACAAACATTTTTTTTGCAAATTAAAAAAAATTTAAAACTATATCATAACAAAATTTTATTTAATTTGAAAATTAAATAAAATTTTGTTACGATGTTATTACTTTAATTATTTTAATTAGAACTTAAAAGGTTTTTCTTTCCGTTTGTTTTTTTAATTATTTTGTTGAACATTTATATAAAACGTTATTTAGTTTTTATTTTTTTATCGTTTTTATTTCAATTGTTTTATCTAGAATTTTAGAATTTAGACTTTTATCTATATCGTTTGTTTTGCCGGGTTTTTTTTTTTAATGATTTAAAATTTATTTAAAGAACTCTTTTCGCTCTTTTTATTTTAATAAAGATAAGTTTTTAAAATTGCGCACGCCAGTCTAAAAAAGAAGATCCGGCCAACGCTTTTTTGTGCCCTGGCATTAAATTTTAAACGAAGAAAAATTTATATATATATATATATATTCTATTTATTTATTTATTATAAAAGAATATATATATATATATATATATATATATATATATATATATATATATATATATATATATATATATATATATATATATATATATATATTGTTGTTATTATTTTTAGGTGCTCTAAGAAGACCTAACCGTCTTGTCACAGAGGGGAAAGCGGAATAGTATCGAAAATTAACTGATCGAAAAAATGATTAGTATCGAAAAATAACTGACCGAAACTCATTTTAATGATTAAGATCGAAAATGTGATTTTCAGATTAATATCGAAAAGTTTTTATATCGAAATTCACAAATTTGGAACAATATCGAAAACAATAAAAAAGGAATAAGATCGAAAACTCATTATTATGATTAACATCGAAAATAAGATTTTCTGATTAATATCGAAAACAATAAAATCGGAATAAGATCGAAAACTCATTTTAATGATTAACTTCGAAAACGTGATTTTCCGATTAATGTCGAAAACAATAAAAAAGGAATAAGATCGAAAACTCATTTTAACGATTAACATTAAAAATAAGATTTTCTGGTTAATGTCGAAAACAATAAAAACGGAATAAGATTAAAATTTTTTCACCTTTGGGAATATCTGTTCCAGCTGTATGCGCTTTAATGACATCGAAATCCGAGGCTCTTTACTAGCTTGTTTTTTCCAAAATAAAAGAAGTTTTAGATTTCTCTCCAGTCACCATTATGTCAGATTTTGAACGAGGACTACAGAATGCTTTAAAAACAACTTGGAGTGAAAGCTTGGTGAATGGTTGCAGGTATAAGTTATTACTTTGTTATAACTTAGTTTCCAGTTTCTAAGTTATCCAAGTTTTTCAGAGTTTGTTATCAATTAATGATCTCCTTTAAACCTTTATCTTTAGGTTTCATTTCGAAAATGCAATCACCAAGCAATTAGCAATTCTTGGTTTTCAGAGGGAATACCGCCACCAAATTCAAGTAAAGAAGTGGGTACGAAAAGTTTCAGCACTTTGTCTCCTTCCTGCAAACAAGATCTTGGTTGCAATTGCAGTTATTGAGATTGCACAATTTAGTCGCGAAATCAAAATTAAACTACTTGCTTTTAAAAAGTATTTTGAGAGTTATTGGCTCAATATAGTGACCCCAGAAGGATTCAGTGTTTATAGCTTGAACCACAAAACCAATAACAATGCAGAGAGTCTCAATAGACGTTTGAAATCAAACACGGGTGATCGACATGGAGGATTTTGACAGTTTATGAAATTGCTTAACCAGCATGTAATAGTCCATACAATTCAAGAGCTTCAACAGCTTGCCTGCAATCAGCCAGTCCGCCGTGACCAACGCGACTATGGTGCAATTGAAAAAATTGTTGTTTTGAGAAAAACTTCGAGACGGAGTTTGGACAACTGAGAGATTCCTATCAACAGTATCATATCTCTTTCAAAACTTCAAAGTAGTGTAAGATAATTTTTTAAGTTTTTGTATAACACTTCTTATTTATTAACCTTTATCAATTTTTTTACCAAACTAATTAGTTTAACCTTATTTGATAATATGTTATTTTCCATGAAATATGGAAAATTGTATTTGAAGTTTTTAAATATTTTTAGTGCTTTGGATGAAAACTCAATGAACGAGGTTGGTGAGAGTCTTCCTTTGCCAACTTCTACCTCAACAGAGTCACCAAAGTGCGTTGTTTGTACCTTCAATGAACTAAATGCATTAGTAATGCCTTGCAGTCATTTTTTGTTTTGTCAGTCCTGCATTCAACAAGTCCAAAAAAGCAACACAGCTCATTGTCCCACTTGCCGAGGACCAATATCATCTATAATAAACCTTTTCAATGATTCAGTAAAATTTTCCCTTTTACCTATATTTTAAAAACTAGAAAGTCACACAATTGTTTAAATTTATTTAAAAAAATTTATTATATAAAAGCGGTATCATTTTTTTCCTATTGCTCCGCCTAGAATAAAAAATAATCAATAACGTCATTTTTTAGTTTACATAAATGACTTTAAATTCCATTTGGGCCTACAAGATTTTCCGTAAGTTGGCGTATTGTATTGGTTTCAGTTGAGCAAACCCCATATTACGTTAAGGATAAGTACTAAATAAATTCCATCACCCTAGAAACAATAGTCATTTACATGTTAAAGTTATTATATAGATAAATGTAGTATAAAATTCTACAGCTGCTTGTCTAGCAAATTAAATAAGTTTCCTTGAAGCAAGTGACAGTATCAACAAAAGACTTATCGTGAGGGTTATTATGTTACGATTAGCACTTTCGTGTGCACAAGCGTGTTAGAAGCGACTTTTTGCTTTTAATTTTTTTTAACTAGGTTTTAACTTGTCTAGCTAGCTTTTAACTTGTTTAACTAGGTTAAAACTAAGAAGAAGAAAACGAGTGCTAAAACATTTTGGGGCGGGATCATAACTTGTTACAGTCAACAAAAAAATATATAAAAATTAAACAAAAAACTATATAATTGGAAAGAGCTCGTCAAAAAGTATTTGAAAACCATATGCTGATATTTCCTTTCCAAGATATAACACCTTATAGATTAAATAAAACACAGACCCAGGTTTTACAGACCAGCACAAAACAGCTATAAAAAAGGATTTTTCATCCTTAACTTGCTTTATAATAAATAAGCAATTTTGTTTAAAGAGTTGCTATTGATATAAATTTTCTATTAAAAGTTAGTTTCTATTAAATTTATCACGTCCTTACTGTTGGTAGGGGTGGGGAAAGGGAGGAGATAATCGTGAGCAATTGACATCTTTTTTTTGACCAAATGCTCTTAGTTTCACGTTATAAAAATTAATTAAGATTTTCTATTCTTGACCACAATTTTCTCCAAAACGACCAACCTAACCTCAAAATCTTTACGATATGGGCTTATATATTTACAGAAGATTATTGATTGTACTTTTTATAAAAAGAACAATCAATAACCTTCTATACATAAAATAAATTGTTAGAAGATAAGTAATTTTACTAATCTTCATATATTTTATTCACTAATATATTTTGATAATTTTTTTTTTCATAAAGTTAGTGTTTAATAGTTCTTTTTGGAATTTTATGTTTTGCTTACATAAACTTCATATATTTTATTCACTAATATATATACTAATAATTCTTCAAGTTAGTCGAGTCTCCTAAAACGCCTTACAAAATTTTTTATGAATATAATTTGCGAATAATATATTAACAAATATAATTGAACATGGGCTACGGCATGGGGGTATATCTACATTGGCTACGTCATGGGGGGGAGGGGTCAAGGAGGCATTTTCCCTCCCCCTCCATCAGAATTTGTAGTAAGGACGATTTTTTTTTTGTAAAGTAAGTGTTTAATAGTTCTTTTTGGAATTTTATGTTTTGCTTACATAAAATATTTAGTTAACATTCAAGGCAGTGCACAGTGGGCCAGCAGTGAGCAAAAATTAAAAAAATAAGCAAAACCAACCTTTAACAATTCAAAAATTTTTAATCTTTTTTGAAAGTGAGTAACCTGAAGAAAATTTAAATGGTTGTAATATTATGTTTTAGTAAATAGAATTATTGTTGAATTGATTTTATATTGTTAATATTGTTAAATTGATTTTATATGTAGTTATTAATTTTGATCACTTTTTCATGTTTGGTTATTGTTATAAGTTTAACGTCATGGCTCCCGGCCCTAAATGAGAAAAATGTTTCTTCTTAGACTTTTACATATATTCTTGATATTTATAAATGTAAATGAATCTTTACTCTGACAGTTTGAAAAACGTCTTTTTTTTTAACTTGAGTTAATTTTTGTAGTTTTAACAGAGTTTTTTTACTCCTGGCCCAATTTGCCCCAAAATGGGAAAACGGGCTTTGTGTATTTTTACATTTTTACCCTATTGTCCTGAATGGGCGATTGGGCCAAAAACAATCAAAGTTCTGTAGAAGAAATTAGACCTAATATTTTTACCTATTTTCTTGCTATTTATAAATGTTAATGAATTTGTTTACCCTGACCGTTTGAAAAAACTCTTATTTCTTTATCTCAAGTTAATTTTTACGGTTTAAACGAAGCTTTTATAGATTTTGATCCAATTGCCCCAAATGGGTAAACGAGGAGTCGAATTCTTACCTAGAGGCCCCTAATATGAGAATGATAATTTTAGAATTGAATGCTTTAGTAAAAAAGAAAACAATAAAAATAATTCAGCATAAGTACTTCAATGAAATTCCTTCTTGATAGCATATGAAAAATAAATTTATTATCAAATTTAGTGCCATAATTCCTTTAGAAAAACTCAACAAATCTTGACGCAAAATAGGCGTTATTGAGCCGAACATAGATTGTCATTACTTGGGAACCAGTTATCCAGATTTAAAAGATGAACACATTCTGAAAGCTTCTTCATTATCCGCATATAATGGTATTAATTATAACAAGAGATAACTGTAATAGTAAAGTCGTGTGATGTGCCTACTGTAAATAAAATCAATACATTTTGTTTTGAATCGTTTTATAAATAGCCAACAACACAACATTCAATATTTTTTGTTCTACAAATAGAGCTTTTTGTTTATATTATTCAACTATACAGTGTAATTACTACACTTTAATTAAAAACCGCAAAAAACCGCAAAAAACTGCCGTCTATTTATTCTGCATTTGGAATTTTCAAACCTATTATTAAATTTCACCTTTTCGATATTATTCTGGAAAGTCCTTTATCGATTTTATTCCTCTTTTCACAGTTTCGATATAATTTCGGAAAGTCCCGTTTCGATATTGTTCCTTTTTTTACAATTTCGATCTAATTCCGTTTTTTGAAATTTCGATACTATTCCTTTATTCACACTTTCGATATTGTTCCGGTAAGTCTTTTTTCAATATTATTCTCTTTTGAGCTGTTTCGAGATTATTCTGCTTTTAGGATTTTCGATACTAATCCTTTTTTAACAAATTCGAAATGTTTTCTTTTTTGATATTATTCCGAAAAGTCCCTTTTCGATATTATTCCTTTTTTCAGAATTTCGAGGTTATTCTTTTTTTTGGATTTTTGATACAATTCCTTTTTTTACAATTTCGATGTTATTCTCTATTTCGATGTTATTCTTGAAATTCCATTTTCGAGATTAATCAGTTTGGCTGTTTTCGATACTGTTACTGCTACCCTCACAGAGCACCGTGGAAGTGCATTTAACCAGGAAGTTCACGCTGCCTTCCTTACCGTGACGCGAAAATATGTCCAGATTTTTTTTCTTAAAGTTCAGTTTTATTTTTTTTTTCAAAGCTGTTCAATTTACCCCTACTAGACTAGATGAAACATTAGTTATGTTTTAAAGAGAACAGTAACTTATTAAAAAGCGGGTAGTTTTAATCAAAAGTCCGATAATAAAATGAATAATAAGCATCTAAGCATAAAAATCGCAAAACTTATTTTTTTACTTTTTTGGTCAAAAATAGAAAAGTAACGACAAAGAAAGTTGATGAAAAGTTCATATCAAGTTTGTCGGCGTACTTTAGTTAGGTTAACATAGCTAACAGTACGTTTTGCATTTATGTGCGCCTTCTCTATGCTATCTTTCTAACTTGACTATTTCTGCCTATCACTCTTTGTTCTTCCCAAATCACCTTATCCTCGGTCCATAGAGCAGGTTATGACGCTCCATGGTGAGCCGAACTTAACTTTGCGGACCATGGTAATGTAGCCTCTATATGGCAATTAGCTGGAGCAGGATAAACCTCAATACAAAAAATAAAAAAGTGCCCGTGTATCTTACTCAACTGTTTTCCAACACTATTTAGCTGCGCATTGTGTTAACATTCTAATTCTCTAACTTTTACCCATTAGATGTTTTGTCATGTGATGCGTAGTTTTTGAGATTTTAATTGTCCAACTTGTCCCTATGCTCAACTAACCCTTCTCTACCCCAAGCCGGAATAACATAGCTTAGAAGCCGATGAATAAAATAGTAATATATCTGAATTAAATGTTTTTTTAGCATGCTTCTTATCTTGAATAGTATTCCTATACTTTTGGAAATTTGAGAGGATAAGTTTTCAATGTGTCTTATCAATGACAGGTTTTCATCAATAAAAACTCCAAAAATATTAGTAGCCGTTACTCTTTTAATTTGCATGTCATCTATAAAAAAAGCTGGCAATTCACTTGGTAGAAGATTATATTAGATGCTTCATAAAGATCGTATATGTTAATGAAAAATAGTAGAGATCCTAGTATGGATCCTTGAGAAACTCTGCATATTATATCTAACAATTTTGATTTTGATGATATGTCATAGTGAAAAATTTTTATTGCTTTAATAAATTTTTAATACCTTCAAAACATTGCCAGAGATTCCATAATAATTAATTTTTTGAATTGATTTTTATGATCAATCGCATCAAAGGCTTTAATTTTAAAAGATAATTTAAAAGAATTTAGATAATCTGATATATTTATTTTTGTGTTTAAAATTGAATTTTTTTTTGCTAAATTTAATCTAACTGAAATAGAGATTTCATTAATTTTATTAGCTACCACTCTTGGATCATAAAATATTTTATCATTAGTTTTAATAGCTTTAGGTAAAGAGCTTTCAGTTTTTTGCTGTAATTTCCCTTAAAACTTGCCATGTTTACTTTGATTTGTTTTTATGCTTTTCTAATAAATTAATGAAGCTTTATTTTTTTTCTTTGAATTTTAATTTTTTTACCGTAATTTTTATAAATTGTTTTTCTAATGCTCTCACTTTTAAATACTTTATATAAAACTTTCGCTTAGCTTTAAAACATTTTCTGAGATTTGTTGTAATCCACGGTGACCTTTATTTTTTCTACCATTTTATGTATAAGAAAATTAATATCATAAATTTCAAAAACTGCTTTTAG